ACATGCTTGACGTTCGACATGTTCCCTTCATGAAGACGCACGGGTTACTGCCACAATACGCCACGCTGTACCTGTTAGTGCGGGATTCTCAGTAGCGCTTGCGCTAACATTCGGAGAAGTTTTGCGGACGCAGTAATGTCTGCATAATTATCCTGAACAGGGTAGAGCACAATGTATTCAATCAATATTCGTCCAACGGAAGAATCTCACGTCATTTTTCTAAGAGAATATCGTGTGTTGCGTGCTATATATAGGAATAGAAATATTGTAAAAATGGGTACGTAGAAGTATGAAATATATTGATAACTAGTAATTTTGCTGACGGCTCTTTTACTTTGATTATTTCTCGATCTTCTTCTTCTATTTATATTGTGACGTAGAGAGAAAACCAATGCCAAAACATTATTTTCAATACATATCGTGACTATTTTGATATTATATATTCATCCGATCTATACAAGATATATATGTTTTATAAAGTTCTCAACTGAGGTACTGTATTTTATGTTGTCATCATTCGCAATATATTCAAATATGCCAGAGAAGTCTCAATACTTGATAAACGAGAAAGTTACCTGAAAACTTAGCACTTGTAAGTCACACTGATATTGTTATCGATTAGCTTTATTTTTTGAAAATCTCACTCCTATAACATCTCAATACGCAAATTCTGGGCACCCTTCTTCGCGTACCTACGTCACCTAAATTTGCAATAGACAATTGAATTTATTTTCCTGCAGACATTTTGGTCACGTTATTCGATTGTGCAAATATGATGGTGAGTTTATCGTAAGTAGACGATGAAATTATAGCCGGTCCGCCTTATCGCGCGCCCGATCCCTTCGTTTTTCCTCTCTTTTCATTTTTAAAACTGTTATCGGGTCTGTAGCAAGCAAAACTTATCTTACTTCCCTCTCTCTCTCTCTCTCTCTATCTATCTCTCTTTCTCTCTCTCTCTCTCTCTCTTTCCCTCCCTCTGCAAAACATAAAACACCCCTGAAATGAAAGGATGTAGCTATACCTTTAGAGCTGTCCAGGTAAATCCAAGTTGAGCTAGATCGCGTGCGACACTTCTTTCTCAACTCTTAAGCCGATATTCATAATCGGATCTTATATTTAAAACCGTCTTAAGTTTATCTTCGTACGCTCTACGGCTCATCTTATATGCAATATCCGATTACAAAACCGCTTTCGATTACTTTTTTTTATAAGATTTGTTACATTTTTACGTGTAAAAAGCGAACATTGTAAGCCTTACTCTCGAATATTCTCAAGAAGCATAGCCACAAAACGATAATGAACACACATATATATATGTATATATTTAGTAGTATTAGGCCAAAGTATAGTCCGAATATAATAATAATAATACTTGTCCGAAAATAATAGTAATCATTTGCATCATTATCTGATAGACTTATTCCTATTTTACCTGTCCCTATAATTTCTTCGGGGTACAATCTGGAGAAATGAAACAATTCAATGCCCGCATATATATCGATTAGTTTCAAAAAAGGGTGGAACTTTGTTCTAATCAATACACGAATAAAACTGGCGGAGGTTATTGTACGGAAATTATCAACTGTCTTGTAAGGAAGGTCACGTGTGACAGGTATATGCAGATATAATTGCTTTCAAATTTAAACTTATAGCAGTGCAAAGAGTTGCAGGGAGTACTTATTTTCTCATTAATAAAAAATATTAAATATTCAATCTATTTAATATTTTAGCTGTTTTACACAAAATATGTTTTCATTACAGTCCTCGACATGTTATATTTTACATTGCCATTGTTCGTAATATATTTAAGTACACTATGGAAGTCTTGACTACCTGAAATAATGACTCGTTCATTTCAGGTAACATAATGAAAATATTAGAATGATTAAATGTAAAATCTCCATATACGTAGTGCTGCCAATTTCGACTACCCGGGTAGTTGGAATCGATACTTTGTGAATGTTATCCAGATATCTAGGCAGTCACATATTTCGGATATTAGCCGAATAATTTGGAAGACACGAAAAATTTTAATTATAAGATTAAGCCTGATTATTGATTATTTTAACAAGAGCAAGGAACGAATGAATATATTGCCGTTTCAAAATTATAAAATTAAAGTAATTTTCCAAACCCTTTTTTAATATAAATAACAGTACGCATGCTCTTTTTATAATATATTAACATAACGACTTTGTATTTTCCAGCCCTTTTTACAATATATTAACTTAACGACTATGCATTTTAAAGTTCAAACGAAGGCAGCCTTATTTTATAATAGGACGCCTACAACAGGTGAGGTAATTTGAAACGGAGTTTAATTTTATAAAAGTATATCATAACCCCACCAAAGGTAAGGATTTACGGAATAGCATCGCACCAGAGGACGTATGATAGTCAGCGTCAAAAAATAATATCTCTTCGTTTAGTTACCCGAATAATATTCGCAAATATAGAAACACGAATAGCCGAGTAGTACTCGTGTACACCTGGTGTGGGTATCCAGATAACCGCGAATATAGATATTACTCGGATATTCAGGTACCCGGATAATACACAAGTATAAAATTGATATAACCGGATCATATTGACAGCATTATATACATATATATATAAATTATATATATTTCTTAAATTAAAGATTTCAATTATATATAAACAAACGGATGTATTTACGAGTAATATATATTTGTTACTTACGTCGCCGAAGGTTGTGATAGACAAATTAAATAGCTTGCCCGCAGTTATTTTGATCACATTACTTGATTGGGCAATTATCAAAACAAAACCGAGCGCAGTTCTATGGTGTAGTTTATACCAATTAGTCATATATGCCATATCTCCAACATTTCTACACTAATAAATATATATACATATTTTGAAAATTTCTGTGAATACAGAAATCTGAAGATCACATTTGAAATGTTAATATAATTAAATATCACAAAAAAACATCAGCATAAAAATTTTATTTTCCTAGATAGACATATGATTGCTATATGAAATATGTATATATTGGAAGATATAAAAATATATTGTAATAATAATTTTTATTTCCAGCGTAAAATTATCACAAGAAACGAACTAATCAAATAATTTTATTCACTGTATTACCTGCTCGGTGAGAATCTCGCCGATGTAGCAAAATATAAAAATATTGAAACCCATCGATAAATAAACAATAACATACGATATTATTTTTGCTGCGTCAAACGCGGCCCAATTCTAAAAGAATCAAAATGCAGGTTTCTGTATAGAAAGGAAATAATATATTTTCCTGATTATTATACTACGATTAAGTAATGCCAAATTCTCCGTGTACAAAAAAAAAATTTCGTCATCAATGTACCTCTAGCAATATATATTTTTTTTTCAGATAATTAGCATACCATGAGAGTATAATATCCAACTAAACACATATTTATTGTGCATCCCATCAATTCCACGAAACAGGCTTTGTGCATAATACTCTCTATGCGCGCGATAAAACTGCAATATATATGAATAATTACAAAGTGCACAAATATGATTAAGTGACAAGAAGCACATACGTTGAGCTCCTATGCGACATTAAGCATGTTAATGTGAATTAACATTGAGTGCATTCAAAGCTTAATAAACAAGTTAGACAGCGGTACCCCAGGACCCTCAAGTGATGCTCCACGACAACAGTTAATTTCTTTTCAGCCAGATTCTCTTCGTCGTGGTTCTCGGTGAGTTCGTTCAACCACACGTAGAGCACATTCAGCTGACCGCAAGAGTGCATCGCGAAAACGGCAGCGAGACTGCAGACACACACCGTAGAGGCACTCGTGACATAAGTCGACGTGAACTGTATGATCAGCATGATCTCATTCGCCGGGCTAAATCTCGCGTCAATGAGCTTTCGGTACGCCGGACATGTCATCGGATGCATAGTAATGGTCTGGTTATCGATAACGACGGTTATCGTCTTCACTGCCTTAGCTACGCTAAAGAGTATTGCACCGCTCTGCATGAACACTGCGCACATCACGGCGATGAAGCGGCCAAACTTGGAGTACTGTATCATCAGCTCGCGATCTTCAGCCCTCCGTACGAGCCTCCAGTCTGTCTCCATGTGGCGTATGCAATCTCGCATGTCGTTATTCCGGCTGAGTAGCATCCAATAATTAACCGAACCCATGAACCTGTGAATCAACGGACCGGCGGCGTTCAGTTTCGACTGGATGTCCTTCGCTTCAAAAAACACGTACAATAGGCACGGCATCGCGTTGATCGCCACCGCAGCCGAGAACACGGGAATTAATACGAACGCGGACAACCTCTCCAAAACGGTCGACCTGTGTGTTTGCGGCCAAGCGCCGATTGATATTAGGAACCATCGGCTCAGTTGCAAACTATAATCGTTATTTTCTGTCGACTCGTCATTGCTTGGCACACGTTTGCAACCCATGATCGCTTCACGAAGGTACGCAGCTTACTAAAATGACGGGCCCGCGAAAGGAACGTTCGGATTGGACACGGAGCAGAGGAAGGGGGAGTGTATGTCCGATCAATAATTATTCGTCAGGCAATTATACAGCTGCTTGTGCTACGGGAGGACTTTGTGTGCAGCCAATACTATAAGAGTGGATATGTAAAGGTGAACGAAAATGTCGATATGGTGAGTGTGTTTTTTCCATTATTTTTGTGAAGCTTCTCGTGTTCATTAAGAGGGAGAGTTAATATTAATAGCGACAAGATAAATAATATTCTTGGAGATTTTAAGTGTTGATAATAATGTCCAGGATGATCAGAGCATAACCTTTCATAAATTTAAGTGCAAACAAATATTATGATAGGAACTAATTATACTTCTAATTAAACTTATATTGCATCTGGAGAACATATTAATTTTTTTATGTAAAACATGGTATATCTATACTATATCATATGGTATATCTATACTATATCTAACTTACTGTATTTATTATACTATATCATATGGTATATCTATACTATATCTAACTTACTGTATTTCATATAGAAATCGCTTGCAATACATTCATATATGCTAAGGAAGTTTTAATTACCTGAAACAATAATATTTTTCGTTTCTACATGCGATACGAAGAAGTATTTCCAATGCTGAAGATTCAATTTTTTAAAAATTAAATGAAACAATTAATTGAATAATGTCAAATGTGAAATTTTTCGCCATATGATTATTGAATTTTATATTATTGTAATGCAAATTACTAATCAGAATGATGTAGTGTTTATTACGAATTCCTTCATACAATATTGTTATTATATGATGATTTATATGACTTACATCTCCAAACGTGGCGATGGACAAAGGAAATATTTTCCCTGCAGTTATCTTAGTTGCGTTATTTGACTGAATAATTATTAGTATAAAACTACGTGCAGTTTTGTGATCCAACTCGTACCAATTGGTCATATATGCCATTCGACCGACGCTTTTACACTAATAAATTAATAAAAACAATTTCATATTCACTATTAGCATCTTGATTTGTAATAAGGCATAAAAATGTTAAGGTAGGCACGAATAAACTTAATTTCAATTTTCGGCTAAAAATAGATTATAACGTTTTCTGAACATGTTTTATGTAAAAATTATGTATGAGAATCATCATTTTAATCTTAAGGTGTTACCTGTTCGGCGACTATCTCGCCGGTGTAGCAAAATATAAAAATATTGAAAGCCATTGATATGTATGTCATAGAGTATGATGTTATTTTTGCTGTACTAAGCACTTCCCAATTCTATAAAATCAAACACTAACTTCATTATCCTATATGAAGAGAGTGTAATTGTAATTGTTTATCTGATTTTATAAGTAAATAATTAAATGCAATTGTTTATATACACATGTGGGTGTGTGTGACGTAGCAAATTTAATTTTAATGAACTTCTAAAATTTTTTCCTTTTCAGATAATTAGCATACCATGATGAAATAATATCCAATTAAACACATAGCTAGCGTGCATCCTGCCAATTCCACAAAACAGGCTTTATACATAATATTCTCCATACGTGTTATAAAACTAAAACATATCTCTTTAGTTTCAACGTTTTAAGGTATTTAATTGTAGATGTGCATTTCTTTACGACATTGTACTGGTATACATAAATTTATTGAACAGAAATATGCATTCGGCCTTTTCGAAATACACTTAACACATTACGTACGGGTGACGAGATATCTCTTCTTTAGCAAGCCGAACGTTGTGGTTGGGCGACGAGATATCTTGTTTCCAGGTTTCTTCGACTTAATCGATGACTTAAGGAATTAAAAATAGATTTTCTTCTTACGTTACCAGGGTAACGAAGTCTCGCGCATTCTCGAAACAAATGGTTAACGAATAAGTGAGTGCCCTGGAAGCGTTTTGAGCGAGTAGAGTGCCGTACGCAATGTGTTAATTTATCATGCAACATAATCGGTATATCTCATTTTCTTTAAATAATAGCTAATACATCCATAAAGTGCGGTGAAAATACCCTATGGTTAAATATATTACCATAAGACTCTTAAATGATGTTTAACGATGTTGGCTAATTTTTGTTGAACCAAATAATTTCGCTTCGCGTTATCCTCAATAAGTTCGTTAAACCACGTGTACAACATGCTTAGCTGACCAGAGGCGTGCATCGCGAACACAATGGCAAGGCTACAAATACATACTGTGGAGGAATTCGCTATGTAGCTCGACATGACTTGCATAGTAATCATGATTTCATTTGCTGGACTGAATCTTGCGTCGATCAGCTTACGGTACGCCGGACACGATAACGGATGTATCGTGGTGGATACGTTATTAATAACAAGTGTTACGGTTTTCATTGTTGCGGATAAATTAAATAAAAATGCACTGCCCTGCACGAACATCGCACAGACTCCGGTCATGTAACGGCCCATCTTGGCATGCTTCATCATCACTTCATAATCCTCCATTTTCGGAACGACACGCCAGTCCTCCTCCATGTGTTTTATACATTCATGAATATCTTTGCCACGTGCGAGTAGTATCGAATAATTCAAGAAGCCCATTATCCTGTGAAATAGCGGGACGAGAGGGCTCAGTTTCGTTTGAATACCTTTCGCCTCGAGAAACACGTATAATATACACGGTATGGCAATTATCGCTATCACGGACGACCACATGGGAATAAGTATTATCGAGGAAAGCCTCTCTATTAGACTGGATGTGTGTGTTTGTGGCCAAGCGCCAATCGATATGAGGAACCATCGGTTCAGTTGCAAACTGTAATCGTTGTGTTTTTTTGGATCAGCATTGCTCGGAACATGCTTGACGTTCGACATGTTCCCTTCATGAAGACGCACGGGTTACTGCCACAATACGCCACGCTGTACCTGTTAGTGCGGGATTCTCAGTAGCGCTTGCGCTCACATCCAGAGAAGTTTTGCTGACTAGGTAATGTCTGCATAATTATCCTGCACAGGGTAAAGCGCAATGTATTCAATCAATATTCTTTCGCCGCAAGAATCTCACACTATATTTTTAAGAGAATATCGCATGTTATATGCGATATATTGAAATAAAAATACTGTAAAAATGGATACTTAGAAGTGATATGTAATATATTGATAACTAGTAATTTTTCTGACAGCTCTTTTGCTTTGATTATTTCACGATCCTCACCTTCTATGTATATTGTAACATAGATAGAAAAACCAATGCCCACACATTATTTTGAATATTTATCGTGTGTATTTTGACATTATATATCCATCGGAATACACAGATTTATATGTATATAATATGTATATGTTTTATATAGCTCTCAATTTAGGTATTATATATTTTATGTTGTCTTCGTTCGCAATACATTCTAATATGCCAGAGAAGTCTTAAATACTTTAAAAACAAGAATGTTACCGGAAAAATTAGCGCTTATCAGTTGCACAGAAATCATTATGGATCATCTTTACCTTCGAAAATCTCCCTCGTATAATATCTCAATACGCAAATTCTAGACACTTTTCTTCGTGTTGCTACGTCGCCGAAAGTTGCAATAGATAATTGAATTTATTTTCCTGTAGATATTTTTGTCACGTTACTCGATTATTCGATTATCAGATATGATGTTGAATTTATCGTAGAGTAGACCTTGAAATTATAATAAATTTCCGGGCTGCCTTATCGCACGCACGATGCTTCGTTTTCCTTATCTTTTTCGTTTTTAAAATTATTATAGGGAATGTAGCAAGCAAAACTTATCTTACTCCCCTCTCTCTCTCTCTCTGTCTGTCTCTCTCTCTCTCTCTCTCTCTCTCTCCCTCTCTGCAGAACATGAAACACCCCTCAAATGAAAGTATGTAGCTATACCTTTAAAGCTGTACAGTTCAATCCAAGTTGAGCTAGAACGCGTGCGATACTTCTTTCCCAACTCCTAAATCTATATTCATAGTATTAGACCTAACATAATAAGAATAATAATCGTCCGAAAATAATAGCAATCATTTGCATCATTATCTGATAGATTTTTTCCTATTTTACCTGACCCTGTAATTTGTTCAGTGTACAATCTGGAGAAATAAAACCGTTCAATGCAAGCATATATATCGATTAGTTCCAAGAAAGGGTGGAATAATGTTCTAATTAATACACGAATAAAACTGGCGGATGTTATTGCACGGCAATCATCAACTGTCACGTAAGGAAGATCACGTGTAATAGGTATATGCAGGTATAATTGCTTTCAAATTTATGTTTGTATCAGGACAAAGAGTTGCAGAGGGTACTCCTTTTTCTCATTAATAAAAGTTATTAAATATTCCATCTATTTAATATTTTAGATGTTTTACACAAAATATGTTTTCATATTGTCATTGACATGTTATATTTTACATAGCCATTGTTCGTAATATATTTAAGTACACTACGGAAGTCTTGATTACCTGAAATAATGACTCGTTCATTTCAGATAACATAACGAACATATTAGAGCGATTAAATGTAAAATCTCTATATAATAAATAGTGTTGTCAATTTCGACTACCCGGATAGTTGGAATCGATATTTTTTGGATGTTACCCAGATAACTAGGTAGGCACATGTTGTGGATATTAGCCGAATAAGTTGAAAGACTCGAAAAATTTTAATTATAAGATTAAGCTTGATTATTGATTCTTTTAACAAGTGCACAGGCCGAAGGAATATATTGCCGTTTCAACATTATAAAATTAAATGTATTCTCCAAACCCTTTTTAATATAAATGACAGTACACATGCTCTTTTATAAGATATTAACAACATATTAACTTAACGGCTTCACATTTTTCAGTTCGAACGAGCCTTATTTTATATTGGGACACCTTCTACACGTGAGGTGAATTTGAAGCGGAGTTTAATTTTGTACAAAGTATATCTTAACTTCACCAAAGGTAAGGATTTACGGAATAACATCGCACGAGAGGACGTATGATGGTCGGCGTCAAAAAACAATCTCTCTTTGTTTGGTTGCCGAAATAATACTCGCAAATATAGGAACACGTGTAGCCGAGTAGTACCCGTGTACACCTGGTGCGGGTTTCCAGATATCCGCGAATGTAGATATATATTACTCGGATATCCAGGTACCCGTGTAATGCGCGGGCATAAAATTGATAGGACCGGATCATATTGACAACATTATATATCAATATATACCAGGTGTAGAAGTATAAAACCGGAATTTCCCTATAGATGGTGCTAGCCATCAGTTTAGGGACCGTAGACTGTGGAGGTTAGGTGGATAGCCCGGGAGGAATCTAGGCATGTGCCCACTGAGTACTCGGCACAGAGATTAAGAAAGACTCCTTTATTTCGTAGAGAAATGCTACAACGATGCAGATCTAACAGCGAGCTAGCCTCCACTGTTCTTCTGCCGCACAGCGACAAAGGACTAGACGTGCAGTGACAAAAGACTAGCTCGCCGGCGTGTGGTGGGGGGCGAGCTCGCATGCAAGCGAGATAGAGTATGGCCGCCACAAGACCGCTTCTGCAGAGCCATCATCTCCCTCTAACAGCTGACGAAGATTTTCAACACACAACAACCCAAGTTCGATAGACCGGTATATTTTTCTATAACTTTAAACATGTCGAGTTTTGTGCATACGAACTACGATTTGCGGACAGCATTGGTTTTTTGTTATCATTTGAAGAAAACTGCTGCAGAATCGCATCGAAT